TCATCAGTGGATGATTAGACACACTGCCCCATTCAGCTCTGCATCTGGGCCCATGAAAATTCATCCTAATTTGGACTACACCCGTGAGCTAAGCTTTTCTGGCAGGTCCCCCTGCAAAATAGTTTGACTTCAATAGAAAATACCATGGAGAAAAACACGGCTTTTCAGCACACGGGTCTTTCTCTTCTAGGCACAACAATTTCCCCCAAACCATGATGGTCAACAGTCTGAGCACACTCCAGAAAAACTGATTCTGACATCTATTATTTAACCCTGGGACTACCTCAGTGCATTTGTTTGTGCTGCTGAATCACTTTCTGTGATGTAAAGGTTACTTAGCTGCAGCATGGCAGCTCAGTGCAGTGGGAACCTCTGGAATGAGGGATGTCAACAGCAGCAGCGTGCTGCTGATGCCAGGCCAAGAACAGGCTTTGCTTCCATAACCACATCATGGTTTATATTAAAACTCCCACCCAATTAACCCCCAAAAAATGTCATGAAAAATTACCAGTTCACAATTAATTTTCTCTTCTGGAGCCAATTGGTCCCAGCCAAGAACAAAGGGACTCATTTGGCCAGGGGCTACAGGGGGACATTTTTTATTACAGAAATGTGAAATCTAAGCAGACACACCAGTCCTGACTGATAAATGAGGAAATGAAACAAAGATGCAGAGACTGACTTAGATCTCTGTAAATGGGTGATGTCCTGATGTTTCAGGCATTTAAGTGCTACTATAAAACTGTACAACATCAGACTCAGAAGTAGAATATATTTCTCTTCCATACACCAATCAGATTGGCAACAGTAACGAATTCTCACCTGCAGTTTTCAGGAGAACCCATCAGCTCATCAAAAGCCAGCCCTGAGCTCAGAACCTCAAAGTTCTTTTATGACACAATTCCAGCCAAAGGAAAGGGCAAGAAACAGGCAGTAAATAGAGCCCGGAATAAGTTCTGAGAGAAGATGTCCATAAGATACTAAATCAGTGCAATTAATGTCCTCCTCTGACAAAAGGTCAATAAACCCAGTAGAATTAATGAAGACATTCAAAAGAAACCCCCAGAATTATAAAACTCTTTTTTTTTTTATCCTCTGACCCTCAGTGACATTCTGCAAGCAGTGAATTCTGTAAATATACTCTGTGTTCATAAAACTTGCACTTTTTCCATTTACCTGTCCATTTCAGGGAAACCTCATTTCTGTACCTGGGGGTGTAATCAAGTGCAATCTAGAGGACTGCTTCTCAGAAGGCTGGCAGAACAGACAAATAATTACACAAATCCAGACAAAACCAGCATAGACTGTTGTTTATAACACATGAAATGGCATACAGGGCAAAACAGAAAAAGCTAAAGCCAAAAATGTCTATGAAAAAAGATAGGAAATTGCAGTGAAATTTTGAAGAGAAAAAAGCAGTACCAGCATCACAAGAGCAAGTCTCTTCTAGTCCTTCGCAAGCAGTTATTTGTGCTTTCCCTAACAGATCTCTCTTCAAAGCAGGGATCTGCTGTTCCTTTTGAAACAACAGCTACATCCACAGGAGAGACCCAAGATTTGCTGTTAGCAGGGGTGATAACAGATGGGGGAGCACTTGTGGACACAACACACGGCACAGATGTTATTCAAACACGGTCCTTGAACATTTCATCTGTAAGGATCTCATTTACATAAAAAGTGCCATTATCTATGTAGAAAACCAACTTTTTCAGATAAATTCCATCTTCTAGTCACTGACTCACCACTCTTGCTGTGAGAAACTGCAGGTAAACCCAGAAATGTGTTTTGCAGTTTTTCCATCTTGTAGTCATCTTTTTTTCTTTATTCTAAACTCTTGTGAAACTCCACACTACCAAAAAGTATCAACACAGGAGACCTGGAGCCCAACAGCACTGAAGACTCAGTTTGACTTGACTGCATTTTACAGGAAATAAAGCCCACAGGTATATCCAGTGCCACCTGACAGTGCTTTCAAGACTAGTAACTGGTGTGAGAGAGTGATGAGAAAGGTAAAGACTGCCCTAAAATATACCAGAAAGATATAAAAGAGAAAGATTTCCCCATGCCTTTCTCTAAACAATGGCGTGTTATACAGCAACCTGAGTAACTTTGGTCATCCATCTAAGAAACAAGTTAATATCAGCTGGAATATTTTCTGAGATGGGTTCCTAAGGTTAGGTTAGATTGTAAAAGAACCTGCCTTCTTTGACCAAAAGTAAAAGACAATGTGTGACAGGGCTTTGCAAAGACATCAAGGCTAAACACTGGCAAGGGAGATGAAGTGTCTAAACTAGAGCAAGAGTTTGGCACAAGGACAAAAGGGATTATACCTGCTATGAATACATTCAGCCTGGAAACTAGAAAGTGTCCAGCCATCAGAGCTCAGAGTACGGTGCAGCCTCACAGTGGGAATAACATAAAGAAAATAACCTAATTAGTTTTAAGAGGGAGATTGAAAAGTTTAAGAATGTCTCAACAGCAGGGGACTGGATTTGGGAAGTGCCTTTTACTCCTGCGTTCAAGGAGGAAGACTGATCAGAGAAAAACAGCCAGAACCTGTATCTGCATAAATTCCCTTTCAAAAGCATTTCTGCAAATCAGTCTCATCAGGTTTAATTTGTCACACCTTTGGTTTACAAACATGATCAGAGATTTATGCAAGTGCCAGGTACCTGTGTGTACCTGTCTATAGGTTAATATCCTGAGTTATAAACGAGCCTGTGTTTTATCACTGATTCACTTAACCACTCTTAACACGGATAAGAAGAGCCATAGCAGTAATATGTCAGGACAAGTAAAGAGAATTTGAGGTGGGTTTGGACTCCAGTGCAGGTGTCAGTGTGCAAAATAACCCATACTGTAACTGTTGTAAGTCTGGTATAAAACTTGTGTTAAATTATCTGTAAATACTATTTTATTCTGTGTACCATCCCTTCTGAGAGCCCATTCACTATGATGCAAATGCAACTTTAAGGCCATTTTTACATAAAAAAAGGATAAACCAGAAAAGAAGGTTTTTGTTTCTATTTGTTTGGGGCTTTTTTAATATTAATCTGAAGGATTAACTTCACCACTTTTGTTTAAACAAAAAACATCATAGAAATTACAAAAGAAAATATAAGTACAAAGAACATACAGTAATTAACATACTGCAATACACTTAAATGTGTGTTCCCAGAACTATGACATTCAAAGTGGAATCTCCACTGAAGCAATACTGTAGTCTTGATAAACATTTTGCCCCAGGACTTTATTCCAAATTAAAGAGGTCCTTCATTAACTGCAATAAGCATTAAGAGGTCCAGATGAAGAGGAAAATTAGCAGATGATTGTTACTCAGTTCTGTTTTACACACACACATATCAATGTGTGAATGCTACTGTTACCTCAACCTCTTCCATCATCATGCGAGACCATCCGTGATCCATTTTGCAAAATTAGGTGTTTCTCTCCTACAACAGCATTTCTCTTTCTTTGGCAGTCACCCAAAGGGTATCTCCCCAAACGTACCAGGGCTCTGATCTGGTTGTCTTTCACCCATTTACCACATTTCACTCCCCAGTTTTGGTGGGTTGACCTGAATTGTTTGAGCTCAGAAAGCCGAGCACTGTCAGCCCCCAGCCAACACCACACCTGCGCTGCAGACCCCACAATGGAGCGGCCACGGGCTGCCCGGTGGGTTTGAGATGTCTGTGGAGGCAGAGACCCCACACCCTACTTGGGCAGCTCTTCCAGGGCCTGCCACCCACAATAGAAAGAAGTTCCTCCAAATGTTGAGGTGAAGCTTCTCGTGTTCTGGTTGACAGCCGTTGTTCCTTGTCCTGTCACTGGGCACCACTGAAATGAGTCTGGCACCTTCCTCTTGACCTCCACAGTTGAGATATTTGTATGTATTAATGTGATCCCCTCAGGGGAGGCCCGGTTCCCTCAGTCTCTCCTCATTACAGAGCTGCTCCAACCCCTAATTATCCCCTGGATTCACACACCCAGCTCTCCTCTGCTGCTGCCCCGACAGACGAGCCGCGAGGTGCCTCGGGGCGACATGGGGGGCATCCCCTGCGCAGGGCATCCCTACTCTTCACCCACTGCAGGCTCCTCTGCACCTGCCTCATCCCTTCGGGGGCCAGGCGGGCACCTCCCGAGCCGCGAGGAGCCGGGCACGGGGAGCGGGACAGTCCCGGCCCCTCAGGGGAGACCGCGGCTCCCCCCGCCACCATTCCCACACGGCGGGGGCGGCGCGGGTTGATGACGCCATCTTGGGCAGCCCCAACATGGCCGTGGTTCGGGCGGCTTGAGGCCGCCCTGCGGGGCGCGGAGGCGCTGCCGGGGCCCGGCGGGATGCACGGGGCGTTCGCCTGTCGCACGGGGCTGCTGCGGGCGCTGAGGGCTCCTCTAGGCTGCCCGCTCTTGCAGCTCTCCTCTCCCGGCTTTACCCGCCACCCCCGGGCCAGTACCCAGCGCGCTGCCGCCCGCGGGGCCCCGGAGCAGCGGTGCTGGCCTGGGATGTGCCCGTGTGAGGGGCCGCCGGTGCCACAGCGCCCTGCGGCAGCTCGGCACAGGGAGAAGACCCGGCCGAGGAGCTCCGCTGCGCCTTGGCGCGTCTTGGGTGTGTGTCAGAGCTCGTGTTCCTTGCTAGCCAACAGATGACAGCCGTGCAGAGTGCTTGGCATCTGAAGGGAGTGGGTTATCACAGCAGTTATCAAATGTGCTGTGGGTTAAGAAAGCTAAAAGGTGACCCCAGGCACTGTAGGCTCACAGTGTGAGGCCTTTTAAAAACACTTCTGTTGGAAATAAGAAAACATAAAGGCAGGAGATGGCAGTGGTTTAATTTGGTACAGTTTCCAGTTGGCAGCAAACTAGGAAAATAGCCAGTAATAAAAGAACAGAAGGCAAATGGCACTCTTGGTTTGTCCCTCATGTATTGTCCCTAAGGCTTGCTGATCGGAAACGGCACTGAGCATCCTCCAGGGGAGAAATGAAAGACCCTCTCATATACCAGCATGGCCTGCCCTCAGCCCAGCCTCATCCTGGCTGGCTGCAGACAGGTCAGGATGGCACCTGGAACAGCCCTTGTCATGGCAGGGGCAGGATCCTCGCGGAGCAGCTGCTCTGCTATTTGCTTTATTCCCACTATTCCCTATGCTATTCAAAGACCTTCAGGGAAGATTTTTTTTGGGGTTAATATTTTTGTTCCTCCCAGGAAAAACTCAATTTTATACATGGGTTTTGATCGCTACGTAAATCTGATATGAATCAGAAATAACCATATGGAGACAAACTCCGTCTTTCACACACCTGTTTGTGGCTTTTGCAATGTTACAGTAGTAAATACTTTATCATAGTAAATCTTTTACCAGTGCCTATATTTATATCTTTAGATCTTCTGGAAGCCTGGCACTTGACAGAAAACATTCCCAATATAGTGAGACATTTGCAGGAGCTTGTCATTGCAGACTGTTGTTCTGAAACCTGCACTTCATTCCCCAGAATTGTCCACATAAATGCACTGAATCATATTTACTTCTACACACCTCTGAGAAGCCGGGCAAAACACACTCCGTCAGCCAGGCAGGTTGGACAAACTTGTTTCTTCCTGCTGGATTTTACAACTGCAAACAAGGCTTCAAAACAAAACAAATCAAAAAACTCACCAGCAACACCAGCAGCCTTATTCTGAACATGTGGGATGCTTCCCTGGATGCCTGTTCATTTCCTGGAGTGAAACTCAGACTCACCAGTTCACTGCTGCCCTGAAGTGTGTGGAAGCTTTTTTTTTTTCCTTCTCCCTCCTTTTCTTTTCCCTCCTTCCTTGTGTTGATTTGTGGGACCAGAATGACTTTGATTTCAGCAAGTTTGCTGTTTATTCACGTCACAAGTTTGACAGCTTTACACCAAATCAGATTGCTGGGTTTCAGGAGAGCTCTGAGGCGTCACTGGGAGCTCCTTTAGATTAAACTCGCCTCCCCGGTCTCCCCCCTCTCCCCCTCCTTCAGAGCCATTTAAACCTCTCTGGGGCTTTAACAGAAACGTGCTCCCAAGACCTGCATTTCATTCTGCAACTGATATGGTAAGTGCTCTTTGTATTTCTCTAGACCTCGAGGTAGAGGAGGAGAAGCTGTCTGTCCCTTGGGGGAGTGCAATCGATTTTGTGCCCTCTTAAGATGGGAAAGAAAGAGGGCTCTCCTCTACCTGCCAGCGCAGTCTCTGCTGCTGTGCCTTCCCATGGGTGGGCAGACTCTCTGACTGAGGCTCCAAGTTGTGCCGTTGCCTACCTTGCAGAGATTTAGAGTTACTGCAGATAGGGAGGAAGGGTGAATCCAGAGACAACCCCAGGCATTGCGGTCTGGGACTCCTGCAGAACTGCAGGGGCAGAAGAGAGTGCGAGCAGCCAGGAGGTGACTCTGCTGGCTCTGTGCTGTTGCTTTAGAGCCGAGTCGAACACCCATGGTGGCAGGAACGGTCTGGCCAAGGACAGCATGGGACCTTCCTTCACCCTAAACCCAAGCAGGACGGTAGCATTTCCCAAGGGGTTTCAGGAAACTGAGCCGCCTCTCTGGCACAGCTGTGCTCGGAGCCCCAGTGCTGCCGGGGCAGGCGGAGCGGCACTGCCCGCGCTCGGCGCACGGAGCGGAGCCACCGGGAAAACGGGGAGCGGGCACCGGGTCAGGGCTGGGCGCTGCCGCGGGGGCCGCCGGCGCTGGGCAGGGCCGGCGGGGCCGCCCCGCGACGGCACCTGAGCACAGCCCGGCCGGGACGGCAGCGGGCAGAGAGCTGCCCCGCCGGGGCGCTTCTGCCGGGGCGCGGCGGGGCCGGGCCGGCACCGCCTCTCCTCGGGGCCCGCCGGCGGCTGGGGACGGGGCCCCGCCGAGCGCCCCATCGCCTCGGCCCCCTCCCTCCGCAGAGCGCCGGCCGGCCGTGCCCGGAGCCGGACTTCGCCGGGGGCTCGGGCTGCGCCTGCCCCTGGTCTGCCCCCGCCGGTGTTTCCAAGGAGACCTGGGCCGCCGTCTGCGCCGCGGAGCCGCCGCACAGCCAGGTCCAGCGGGAGGCTCGGCTGCCGGGTGAGTGCGCTCAGCTGCCCCCGGGACGGGAGCGGTACGGGACCGGGAGCGGTACGGGACCGGGCTAACCCTCGCTCTGGTCCGCAGGCCAGTTCTGCAGCCCGCAGCTCGGTGTCCAGGACGCGGTGTGGCAGGGAGACCAGCTGTCCTCCCAGCTCTACAGGAATAAGCAGGTAAAGGCTCCGCGCCCCCCAGCACCCCCGGGTTCACCCCACGAAGTTCCCGAACTTTTTGTCACGTTTGGCACCTTCTGGGTTGGCTTATGGTATTGCATATATGCGCTCTACTCTGTCACTGGCATGGATGATAGAAGTGACACAAAACTGTTCCTTGCTTTAAGTGTTTGTCTCCATGTTGTCCTGTGAAGTTGGAGCAACTGTAGCGGGTTTCCCTATCCATTCCTCCCCTTTTACATCATATTGCAGCAGCAGCCTTGGCACTAAAGAAAACCAGGGGCATGAACAGGGGATCCCTCAGGCTATGATGATGCTGTTGGCTAAAAATATGTAGTGCATGCCTTCCTAATTCCACCAGGTTTAAGTTCATGGGTAATGATTCCACCAGAATTGCCTAGAAGATCAACCATTTTGACCAATATGTTTTCCTTGTTACTTTATTTTCTCTTATCTTTCATTTTTTTTGGTAAATCCCAGCAAGAGACAGGAGCAACTCTGAACTGCCTTAGATGAAGGAACTCCAGATTGATGACTCTGATCAAGTACTTGGAATGATGTTTTGACACAGTGAAGTCAGTGAAAATTCAGATATTAACTTAAAGGTCCCTGGAATCAAACCATGGTTCTAGATGTCAATGTACTTCTTTCTTTGACTCTTCCTCAATCATTTAAGTCTGTTTTTGACTGAGCCTGTGCTCAGCAGATGCCTGTGGTCCTTGGCAGAAGATTCTTTGTTCTCCTAAAGAAGTCTCCAAAGCTATGATCAGGAGTCAAAAATCTATCTGTAAACACTTAGATTTCCCATGGAAAAGTGTCTGCCATTCCTGTTCAGCTTTTGAGACCAGGGATTATCTCAACTCTGTATATCTACCAGGTCTGGGACAATAGGGTCCACAATTGAAGAGGTCACTGAGTGCTGCTGTATCATAAAGAATGGCAACTGCATCTTCCTTCTGCACTCTACCCCATAAATTGTTAGTGTGCAACTCCTCCTCTTTTTTTTTTTTTTTTTTCACCAGCCAGCTATAAATGGGAAGGAGGGGTGCAAAGGGATGTTTACTGCTGCTCAAGAGGAGATCCTGAAGCTGCTGTCATGCCCGTGACCATTTCTGGCTGCTCACAGGGCTACCTGTAATTCTTTGCTATTATTATTCTGAGGTTGTAGGTTTTTTCAGAGTAATCTTCTCAAACAGTCACTTAAAGATTAAAGGAAGTCAAAAGTGAAAACTGAACAGTTTAGATTTATACTTAGATTTATAGAGACAAGAGGCTGGAGGGGGTGGGTTGAGCTCACAAAGCAAACACCCAGATCATCAAATCCAAGCAGCTTGTACCAGAGGGCAATTGCTATTAAGTTACAGAATCAACACCTATTCATCAGTATCTCTATTCCACAGCTTCAAGATACTTTGCTTCAGAAGGAAGAGGAACTTGCTAGGTTACATGAAGAAAATAATAACCTCCGACAATACCTGAATTCTGCCCTGATTAAGTGTTTAGAAGAAAAAGCCAAGGTATTGTGTTCAAACCTGTCATACAAATGTGTGTAGGAGGAACAGGTTGATTAGGTATGGGCCAGTAAAATATATGGAAAATCTAAGAGTGTAGACAACCTGCAGTGGAACTCACACTCACATTTAAATTCACGAAGGTGACAGTTTCCTCCAGGAATGGTATCCTGTCAGGTGCTGACTGTGGAAACAGTGTAGCACCTGGAATAATGAAGTTTAATTTAGTAGTTAGCTATAAGTAAGTTAAGATTATACAGTCAATGTAAAATTATTCCCTCTAATGCTTTTTTGTTTTTTCAGTAAAAAGCTCAAATTTGGATATATATTTTTGAATGTCTACTTCATCAGTTATCTCTTTTATAAGGATTTTTTTTTCCAGTTTATTAATTAAAACTTGTGGGTTTTTTTTTTAATGGTGAAATACAAAATTAAACGTTTTAAGTTAGATGAAACATTCTATTAAACTAAGTGTGAAGGGTTGCTTTATTAACATTTGGATTATTTGTCTCTCATCTAAACAAAAATAAAATCATTCTTGTGATCTTGAAGACGTTTTTTGCTATTCCAGCGTTGCTCATGAAACTGAACTATTGATTATTTGCTCAACTCTGTGGATTGGGCATGAGGTAAAGACTGTAAGACGTAGGAGACTTTCCTTTTCCATCCTGTTGATGAGTTGATAGCATGACATCCTCCTTCCCATGGCAAGACCTGGCTCCTGGCAGTGGAAAAGGTCTTCTTCACTGGGCAGAGCAGGGAGACATGGCCACGCACTGTGTCATGTGGAAAGGGGTCCAGTGTGGAACTGTCATGGGAGGTGTCTGAGCAGTGAATTCATGACGTGGTGGGGAGCTGCCTTGTTTATTCTTGCCTTCCTTTGACCATCCTAGGATGCCTGAAGGGCCCTTGTCCTGGGGTAATGACAATGGAGGTGAATTGATGAGTGCAGGGCCACTCAGGCTGCTACTCTGAGCACTGCTTGTCAGCATCACCCTGTTCCAGCATGAGTTACCTTTGCATCCTCCCTCTTTGTCAGGCTGCCACTTTTCCCCCCGTGCCCTGTCACCTGCCAAGCACTGCTGGCACAGATCCAGGCAGGAGTGCAGGGGCTGGGAATGCCACCAAAGCACAGGTCTTACTGACGTAGTTACACTCTTCTCTTTCAGGGATGGGGTTGTTGCAGACACTATAAAGATACAAAATAGTTGGCCATACCCATATGTTTAAGCAGAGTGGAAAAAAAACTTTATAAGGATGGTACTAACCATCTTGTGCATCTAAAATCTGAGGTCAGAAACACGTTGCTTTCAGGTGTCTGGAAATTCAAATTTTAATCTTCTCTCTCCACCTGGGTTTTTGTTTGTTTTGGTCTTTTTTATAGAAACTGCTATCTGGCCATGGGCAAAAAACCTGTGCTATCCTCAAAAGTACCAAGAGGAGATTAAAAGAGGACCACTGCTTTGTTCCTCAAGAAACTCCTCATGCTTCTAAAGCTAGAAGGAACCTCTTCAATGAATTCACTGCCTGTGAAGAGCAAGCCAGCCCTGCTGTGGACAGCTGGGTCTTGCAGACCTTAGGATTAAAAGATGTGAACACCATTGATGAACACCATTCAGCTAACTACAGTGCCCTGTCCCCAGACCTCAGAAAAGACACGTACTGCCTGAGCCCTGGGGGAACAATAGACTATGAGCACAGGGAAGGAGCAGCAGCAGTGTTTAGCTGCAGCCATGTGCCTCCAGCCGACAGCAGCACCCATCCATGCAGCGAGGATTCTCCCTTCCTTCCTCAGTTTTCTTCAGCATCATGTGTCTCCTCACCAGTGCCAAGTGTTTCCTCCCTCCCAGCCTGTGGGTTGCCTTATTTGACTGGTGGTTTGTCACCCAACAAAACAGAAGTGGCCTTCACAACGTCCCTGAGTCCCCACCGCAATGTGAGAACACACAGCTTCCACCAAGGACAGGCCTTTGTGCGCAGGGACGATGATGGGGGATGGAGATTCACCTGGGTGCCCAAGCAGGCTGAATGATGCACCTGGATCAAGGGTCAGCCATAGGGGATGTAGGAGTCACACTTTACCTTGTGCATGAGACAGGTTCAGGCAGAAAAAAAAGGACCCCTTTTGGGCTTCTTTAAATGCTACTCTGTCATTAACCCACTCCTCATTCCCTCACAGATTTTCACAGATGTGACTCCAGATTTCACTCGGACCATTTTCTGCCCCAGATGTTCAAACTGGACTCCTTTCTCTTGTGCCTGTGTTGAGATACCTGCTTTTACTTGTTTCCAGGGTTTTTGTCATCAGCTCTTCCTTGTTACTGGTAGTTTCCAGGCTTGGAGGGCTTTCACCTTTGATCACTTTCACATGCACCAAACTGGAAAGCACTTTGGGATTGCACCTCTCTCACTTTGGAAATAGTGTCTTTTCCACAAATATCCACAGACAACAAAGGAGGCATAGGTTGAAGACTGAGGATCAGCAGTTTGAGTGATTTAGTCTCTCTTGACTGCACAGATTGCCTTGGATTTAACAAGTACCCATGGCTGCCTTAGGTGCTGCACAAGCAACCTACCTGCAGTTCCATGGTGCTGTCACATTCTTTGATGATGCCTCAAAATAAAAACAGGATTTACTTCTAATGCCTGGAGGCTACTTAATTACAAGAGATTTTTCATGTGCAGGGGATCTTCCTAAGGTGTGTTTAAGAGACGGATGTGTTTACTAATATGTTTTAAAGGTATTTTGTCTGTCAATAAAGGGAGTTTACATTTGGGGAGGCAGTATCACTTAGTGGTTGGAGTGGGCCTTTGGGAACCACAGCCTTCAATGCCAGCTCCTGCCTCTCTGTGTCTGCCAGACTGTGATGGGCTAAGACCAGCACAACTTTGAGAATGCTTTAAAACTCTCTGAGGGAAGGTGCTCTAGCACTGCACAGGACTTGACTTTTAGTAGTGCTACTAAATGATATGAATGATTTGATGATATAAAGTCAATGGACGTGAAGGAAGCTCACCAGTACTGTTTTCTGTTTCCTTTGTCTTTTGTTCTACAGTAGTTTGATGCCTAAGTATCAAAATAGATTGACTTGGTTATTCTTGCTTTCAGAATGGGGCCACTGACATTGAGGAAGGACTTAAGTAAAACTGAGGATTTTCTTCCAGTGGCTTATTTTCCTATAGAAAACTGGATATTCTGCTATTTTAGAGGATAAAAATATTTCCTAATAGCCTGTTGTGCCTTAGAACTGCAATACTTGAGACCCTCCATCAGGACCAGTAATGATTTCCCAAAGGACTTCTAAATGAACAAACTGTATTTCTGGGTAAATTTACTTAAAAGTAAAGTTAGTTTGAAGTAACTGTGGCAGACTTCCAGAATAGGCAATTTGAAAGCATTGATTGTAGGCATTATTTCACTGGATTAAAAGCCAACCAACCTGAAAAAACAACCACCACAAACCCACACACCAACCACTGCAAAATAAACTCACAACAAAAACTCAGTAAAAGCCAAAAAACCCAAAACAGACAATTCCCATGGAATAAATATAAATATTTGTTGGGGGGCTTGCTGTAGTCCATAAAATTGTAGTTGATTGATGAAGACTGGTCAGACAAGACCACTACTTCTGTGGCAATTTTCTTCTTTTCAGTGAAAGCAGAAGAAAAATCCTGTCCTACAAACAACTCATTTTTTTCTCAATACATTTCTTTTCTATTATTCTCCCCTTGCCCCACTATATAAGAGATCATTGAAGAAAATACTCCTGTCACTGGAGTTTTTGTTGATGTGTGTGGTAGTGTAGAAAATACCTGAACTTAACCTGAGAATGTGATGGGAACCCCTGGTACAGGTGGAGGATGCAGAGCAAACTGGGAATAAGACAGTGTGGCCAGAGGACTACACCCAGCACAGCTGTAGATGCCACACCTCTCAAAGCAGCTGTGAAACAGAAGTAGAGAAACATCTGTCTATTCTAACACCACAGAATGTTATTACGTGTGAGTTTCAATGCTGTGGAGTCAGCAGCACTAATAAGTGCTTTTGTCCTACCAACAGATCTTAAATCAGGGTTTTTTTCCCTCTGAAGAGAGAGAAAAGCTTTCCATTTGCCTGACACTTCCTTTCCACATTTTTATATCACTGTGTTTGAGAACTTCTCCTGCAGAGATCCAGAACAAAAGTGTCAGATCTTTGGTACAATCCTGAAGTAGGGTTTCGGTAGGAACAAACTGATGATTGAGCCTTTGTCAGCCTTTTGTACAGGGGTGACTGACCCTTTGTCTCATAGCAAATAAATTATGAATGTGAGGGAATCATTTACCTGAATGAATCCTCTTCTTTTCCTGTGGGTTTCTGAATTTTATTCTATATGAAGGAGCTGAGTCCTGTTGGAGAGATTTTTTTCTGAGCCTGACTTTACTGGAGTTCATTTGGGTAGAGGATCCCATGGTGCTGCTCGTGTCAACTGATGGGTGTTCCTGACTTGCACATGCAAACTTAAAGTTCTGATGTAGGCAACTGCTTGAGCAAAGTTCTCTGTGGTAATGATGCTCCTGGGCACTGGAGCAGAGGGAGCATGCTGGAAAGGAAAGAGGAAAATCCCCAAATCATTTTACCAAATAAATAAGAGTTACTTGTTTTACTCTGACACCACCATCTGAAGCAATATTTCCTGTTACATGAAGAAGAATAGAAACAGGCTGTGTCTAACACCAACTCACAGCAAAAAAGTCAGCCCAGTGACCAAACCATTCCTTTAGATAAATATTGCTCCTGTTGCCAGAAGAAAGCCATTGCTCAGCGTAACTCACTCTAAACTGCCTGGTTCCTGTGAAAATCCTGCCTTCCTACAGGTGTAATGGATACAGAAAATGAATAGGAGGCTGAAGACATCTCATGGCATACTGCCACATGGTGGGATGTGAGGACAGGTACTGACTGGGCTGGTCTGGGTTGATACGTTCATTGAACCTGCTGTGTCCCCATGATTTCCTTGGGCCTGGAAGCAGTGAAGCTGCATTAATGTGGTGCAGTTCTTTGGTTTGCAAAGATGTGAGGGATGTGCTGGTACAAAGCCTAGCTGGAGCTTTGAAATGGGTGTTCAGTCTTGCTTTGTGCTTGATCCTCCTTGTTTGTCCTTTTCCATTTGTCCTGTATCCATTCCCAGTGGGGGAAAAAGCCACCCTGCTGCTCATGGAATGTCCAAGGTGAAGCCCAGGGAAGCCCATGACACATTCCTATGCCTCAGAGGTAGCTAGAGATCAATGGCAATGAAAGCAAAAAGTGGAAACAAAATCCAGTTCTTCACACAGCCATCACAACTAGGTAGCCAGGAGATAGCAGGGACAAGTTTCAGCTTGGTACTGCATTTCTAATTTCAAAAAACAGGAAGCTAGAAATGAGAGTCAGGAGGCAAAAGTTCTGGGTTCTGATACTGCCTCTGGTATTACACTTGGTTTAGTTGCTTTGGATTCTAACAAGAAAACATAACTCTTGCTGCTACAAATTCCAAGAAGTTCCCTCTTGCCAAGACTCAGTACCAGGCCTATAAAACTCCAGGATGGGGAACTATGACTTGAATGGCCATGGGGCCCTGGGTGGTACTTTGAGTAGCAGTGAACTTCCTTGTCTGTAAAGATGAATCTTGTATTAACATAATTTGTTTTATTTTTTTATTTGAAGTTTTCTTTATTATGTGAATGTAACATTTAGCTGCATAGTTTAAAATAATCTGTGTTTCTAGAAAGGTACATTAGAGAAATGGAAGTTAACACTTAATCTGTTGATGTTCATGATTTTCATGATTTAAAAAGGCCATGATTATATGTAAATGTCAATTTTGCCACTGTCACGAAGTTATGACTAATAAAACCTAACATCCAATTGATGCAATTCTCTCTGCCCATTTTAGCACCCATTAAACCATGCAGCTGTTACTCAGCAGCACGGCATCCACCTGGCACCTACATATCTCCCCAGGGGACTGAAAGGGACTTTTATTTCCTGCAGTCACAAGTGTCCACACAAGGACATGCCATGTTTTTATGATACCAGATCCAACTATATTGACAGCCACAGGTGTGATCACTTCAGCCTGGGCTTGCACTGCACATTGCACTGATCCATTATTGCTTTGACTCAGGAATAGATGCCATGCTACTAAACAGCAGGGACAGAGGCAAATATTGTGCTTTTAGTCTGTTGTTTTTGCAGTGTCTGGCTCTTGCACTTAATGGACTTGTACATTCCTAGGCAGCTGGGCATCCTGATCCAGGACAACCTGATTCATTATAGTACTCTGAGTACTCCTGATTTTGACTCTGAAATGATGAAATGCAAAATGGCACTGAGGTGTCTCATAAAGAGACTGGAGATGAGAGACAAAAGCCTGATTAAAAAATTCAAACCTCTACTCAGCTCTACTTGACAACAAAGAAAAGCTGTGTTAGTTATTAACTTTCCCTTCTGATCATGAGCAGGTTTATTGGTAACCATGCACCAGCTGGGACCAGAGAGATTTTTCATTGGAATGAAGATGGCTTATTGCTTATGAAAAGACACAAAGTGAGCCTTCCTTAATTTCTTTTGCCCTCATCTAGAAGCCATACAAAGTCTATGAGATGATTCATAAACACTTTGGCCTGTTGCCGGGTAGCTGACACCCTGTCATAAAGAGAGAGCAGTCTATAAATAAATCAAGGAATGAGCTGTGATTCACCTAAAATGCCATCTCTCCAGTCATTCTTCTGCTTCATTAGTTGTGCATCACTGAGTTATTTCAAGGCTGAATACTTAAATTCAGTGCAACCCAAGGAAATCAGTATAATAATAGTTCACAAGGAACAGATTATAAAAATCAGTATGAGCATGAAGAGCTGGGAGGTCTGAGGTCCCCATTTTCCCTAATTTATTTTTAAAAATCTCACTCAAAGTGTGGCTGTAGTACTGGTATGGTTAGCTGAAACTCCCAACAGCTGCTGCCTCCAAAGCTGCTACTAGTCAAAGATCACTCTGAATATTCATTT